TATATCAATGTTAGTTGGTGGAATTCCATTATCTCCTACAAACACAACTGCCACATCATTTGATGTTGGAGCATTATATCGTCTAGGATCACCGTGGGTTAAAAATGTCATGGTTACATCTGTTGTTTGATTAAGATCACATATAGTTTTCATATGACCATAAATGTTTACAAAAGGATTATTAATTGTCATCAACATATTTTCCAGCAGATGCATTAATTCAGCATCACAACCTGCATTTAATGAATTGGATACTCTAGCAATATGAGCTTGCATTGGATCTAACATATACAGTTGAGCGTATCTAGGTGGCTGTCCGTTCAATGGTTGTGGCTCAGCAATCGCTGTGTATGCTTGTCCATGAACTTTAACTATCTAAAATAAAAACATTTTGTTCGGTAAATAAATAAGATACAGCAATTAAGATTAACAATAAAAAAATACAATAAGCGATTTTTACCTTTGGTCCTCGACCTTGCAATATTAAAGGATAAGATTGTTTGACCACTAATGAAGCAAATGCCAATGAATTATTAAATTGACGAATATGTTGCAGATAATTTTTAGATAAATGATGATTTCCTGATAATAATTCCTGAAGAATTTCAGGTGGATCTCGAACCATATATTCTGGATAAATATCATGATTTATAAGAACTTTTCCGCCTTGACAGCATAACATTATTTGGCCAGAACAATTTTGCTCTCCGTCAAAGTAATAAGCTTTACAGTTGGTACAAATTTTGTTCATTTGTCCGCCTAAAAGATTAAAATATTTTAGGCTTTAAGTTTAAAGTAAAATTGCTATAGTTTCAATTATTCCAATAAAATTTTGCTAGTTAACAAAAATATGTACAGAATAGATAAAGAAATAGGCATTGCTTAAATAATAAAAAACTTTTTTTTCCTAGTTTGTAAACTTTACTATAATTAATAATTATGAACATTTAATCATGTATGTAAGGCTATTAATTATTCAATTCTTTTAAATACGATTATGTTTAATGCAATATATATTTAAAAAAAACAATTATTTTTAGAACTGTTATATTTTAAAATTTTTAAAATCTTAACAATCTATATTACCTTAAGTAGAACTAATGACTTATTATTTAGGGAAACAAAAAAAAATTATAGGAAAAATAGATTATACTAAGTATAATCTACCATCAGATATATCCTATAACTTTTGATGCAGTAATTATTGTTAGTTATTTTTTTAAAAAAAATATATATATATATTACACTTTTTCTTGTTTTATTGTATAATAAGATATAATTTTTTTTTATATTTTACTTTTTTATCATAATAAAATAAAAAACATACAATAAAATATTAAATATTATTAAAAAAAAAAAATTATTTACATAAAAATTGATCAGGCAGTTCGAGTGTCCATGCACATGGTAAGACTATATTATAATCAACAATATTAACATTTGTTTCATGTGTACTGTTTTCATTTATACTAATTTCAATTTGACTATTTTCATTTCTATTTTTTATTATACGCAATGAATTATTTTTTCTCGGTCTTCCAACTGATCTTTTAATAGCTGAAATTAATGGAGCTATAATAAAAGAAATTTCTTTTTTCTTTTTACAAATTAAAAAAATTACACTTATAAGCTACTTTTTTATAACTATTAAACATATTATTTAAAAGAGCATACTCACTTGAACATTGATCTAATAATTCAACAGTTGATGAACATGATAAAACAATATCGCATTTAATATTTGAATTCATTTCTAATAAACTATTTTCATTTCTTTTTATCTCAATATTACTATTTTTATTTCCAATTATTTTCTCAGTGTTAATTTTTCTTGGCCTCCCAATAGGTTTTTTTTTAGTTGTAATTGGTTGAGCTACAATTTTACAATTGAATGAAATATTATAATACTTTAATGAATAAATTTTACTCTGTTATAATATATTTAATACAACATTGTAAAAATCAGTATTAAATCCAGGTATACTTTAGAAGACTTGGTAATTTAGTTATTTTTGAAATTTGTTACGAAGTTTGAGATAAATATTGAGTTTAAGATCTTTTTTCTTTTTGTTCATTTGTAAAAATTTGAAGAGTTTATGGCCTTACAAATCTTTTTATGGTTCATAGAGCCCTTTTCCCTCCCAATGAAAATGTCTAAACTCAACACCGTGAAAACATAGATCCCAGCTAAATATCGATAAAAATATTATTCTATGATTTTTTAAGGTATTGAGTCGTTCAATCAAAAATCTTATTTTATGTATTTCATAAAATTATTATACAAATATTATGAGTTCAACTTAAATTTCACGTAAAGAAAAAATTATAATTAAAAAATTTTAACAAAAAATTATTTGTTAAGTCAATTATAATTTTTTTTAATCTTAATTTAAATTTTTTTATGAAATTTGATCATTTTCTTAATTATATATATATATAATTTTTATTTATTTAATTTATCAATGATTTATTTAAAAAAAAATTGTTCTAAACATATTATACATATAAATAATATTTAGGATTTGGTTTTTTTGTTTGAAAAATTTGCTTCATTTTTTAAATTTAAATCATAAAATATTATTAATTATACAAAATTATTGAAGTCTTGATTTAAAACTATACGATGTAAAAAATATACTTACTTAATATTTTAGAATCTGAAATATGATCCGTTTTATGATTATAATTATTTTTAATTAAATTGTTAAGTTTTTTTCTTTGTTGTTTATTATTCAATAAACGGACTTTTTTTTGCGGCCTTCCCTTTCCTTTATTTTTTGGTGTCCAAGTTATATCCGAAATTTGTGACGAAGGTGTTATATATAAATTAGTCATTGAGTTATTAAAATCAATAATATCACCAGATTTTCTCAAAGTAGGAATTTTATGTAATGGAGAAAATGGACTTGAAGGTATTGGAATAGAATCATTCAAAGAACTTTGTGACAAACTTAAGTCTTGGTTCCTTTCTAGTCTTAAAGATACAGTTGATTTATATTTTCGTCGTAAATTTCTGACAGGAGTACGTGGTATAAAAGATGGGTTAACTCCTGCTAAAGGAAAAAGTGTTATTAACTTACTTTCAAGTATTGATGCCACATGTGTTCTCATTAAAGAATGTTCGTAGTTCTCTTTTGACGGATCTCGACCTAAAACTACGCTAACAGTAAATGCAATAGCAAATATACCACAATCTATTAAATTGGGCTGACTTTGTACATTTTTATACACTATCCTGGTTCTATTAGGGTAAAGAACATCTAAAAATCTTATTTCAGTTTCTGTAAGATAATCTAAAATAAATCATATGTTTTTAAACTACACAATTAATACAATTATATAAGGTTAAATAATTTCCTCTTTAGAAAGTAACGAATGAAAAAGTGAATAGAAAAACATTAATTCAGTAGTAAATAAACTGCTTTTTTTGTTTAAATAATTGTTTTTCTTCGATTTTCTTGCCAAATAATAACTTCTAAAAATTTTAATTAATTTAATTTAATTTAAGTTTGAATGGGAGGAAATTAGGAAATTCTGGTTCCGCGCCTGACAATGATGCACCGTTATGAGGTTTGGATTAATATAGTATAATTATTAAAATTTCTATAGGTTTTAAATAAGTACTCGGAAGTGGTTTTAAATTAGCAGTTTTTAATTTAAAATTATTTTTATTTCAAAAAAATGTGAAATTGTATTTTATATTATATAATATTTTTTCTGACTTTCGATTATCATGAAAAATATGCACTCAATTTTTTAATAATTAAAAATTAAAGAGATTGCTTATATTACTGAATGTAAAACAGTGGTGCAACCAGGAATTTTTTGATGGGTCGGGAGTGGAGATTATATTAATTTTTCTTTTTTAGCAATTTCATAAAACTTTTTAAAAATTAAAGATGATAAACCAAAAAAAAGAACTTCAACACATAACATTTAGTATAATTAAAACTGTAAAACTCAAAGCTAAGAATTGTATGATAATAAAATATTATTTGATAAGAGTATATTGATGTACAGTTTTCCATATTAAACGCTTTGTAGAAATAAATATTTTTTTATTTTAAATTGAATTTTTTACATAGTTTTAATTAGCTTTTGAAAAAAATTCTTGTATTTTAATAAAATATCATCGATATACACTCTGAATTAAATTTTAAGCAGTGCTTTATAATATTACAGTTAAAATTTTAATTATAAATTTGAAAATAGAAAAATGTCTGTATTTAATAATATTTAATATTTATAATTGAATTATTACTTAAATATTAATGAAAACATGGTGGTAAACGCTAGAGTGAATATGTGATGCTAAAATAATTAGATAAATGATTTTCTCTCTCCTTCCAATGATTATGTTAAAATCAAGTTATTGATATAAATTAAAAGAAAATATAAAAAAAATTACTTACTTATATTAAGACTATCATAAATAAAAACAATTGATCCATCATAATAAACCGATACCCAATGAGTAATTTCCGACAAAGAATTTGGTATTGAGGTTGGAATAATTTGAATATGTGGTGGATGAGCTGTTGGTATATTTTCCAAAACACAAAGTGCATAAATATTGATTGGATTAAATTGAGTACACGCCGATAATATATCAAAAAATTCATTTATGTCATCTCCAGTAACATAATAATCCGGCGAAATTATTTGTTGCGCCATTTTTTTATATTAAAAAATGGCTAGATAATACTACACTAAATATATAAATATATATAAATATAAATATATAAAATAAAAATTTTAGCAAAAATTGTATAAGGTCCGTTAAAAAAAATTTTTGAATAACATGGTTTGAATAAAATATATATTTTATATAATAATACCACGCAACTCTAAAATTTTGTTGTTCAAAATGTAAAAATGTTTAATGTACATATTTACCTGTTAGTAAAATGTTTTTAACCAATTTGTTAAATATGTATTATCAATTGTCTCATTAATTAATTCACAAATAAAACTATAGCTAAATATTAAATTTATTTCAATAAATAATTTTTAATTTTTAAAATATAATATTTAAAAAAAATATAATAAATATACACGCTCATTTGTTGAAAGAATATTTTACAATTCACGTGTATAGTTGCAAATTGTAAATGTTGATAGTCAAATTAGACTTAAAAATGGACCGTTTAGGAAATAAATTTATATAGATAAGTGAAGTCAACCTATGTAGATAGTTATAAAATCCTAACCAGGAAACTGAGAATGAAAGCAAGAACGATAAAGATCATTAAATGAATTTTATCAATGAGATAGTGTTAATGCATTGCACGCGAAACTTTACTATGCTTTTTAAAATGTGCCATGGACGCTCTACGTTAACATAAAATAACCGGGTCCTGATTTAGTGGATATCTCAGGGAAAAAAAAAGGCTAACTAATATCTTATAAATTAATTAAAAATATTAATTTTCAGGTTCAAATCTATATTTATTTTAAAACTATTTGTCATAAAATAATACTTTTAAGTTGAACATACTTACTTACACGCTTATTAAGTACATTTTTATGAATAAACGTATAAAAAAATGTACTATGCCAAAAACATTACTACTCATGGTGAAGTTTTCTTTATAAACATTATAAATATAATACCAACTATTATAGAAAGACTTGATATGTACAATATAATAATAAATCCAACCCAACTGCATAAGGATGCAAGAACATTTTAAAATGTTCAATTTTAATTGAAAATTTATTAATTGAAAGTTATTAGTATAGCTGTCTATTTACTAACAGTTGGACACTAAATATTATTTATTGTCTAAAATGTACTGGTTTTTTAAGCATATATATACATTTACATTTAATTTTTAATTAATACCAAATCAATTTTATTATAATAAAAATTTTAAATTAAAATAATATAAAAAAAAAATGTAAAATTGCAAACTATCATTAATGCACCTTATATACTATATCTACTGTTTGTAGGCTATTAAGCGTAAGCTACATTTTAATCAACTAAATTTTTTTCTAAAAAAAAAAATTAACTAATTGATATTCAAATCGACTGAATCGGAAAATTTTTGATAAAATGTCGCTTGCGTCAATTAGACTACAAACAGTCAATATATACTTGATATTTTTAACTAAGTCTAAATAAAATATAAGTTTATTATATCCACTATCGCGCGTGTATTGTGATTTCAATTTAATAATCCGTCTGCCTTCCATAAATTTTAAATTAATACTTTCTGATAATGTGTATTATACCTCATAAAGCAACAGTCCGTAAGGTAAGTAATCATTGTTCGATGAGAATTTGAATAAAAATCTATCATTTATAATAAGCATATTGTCAATTGACCGTAAGTATATATAATTTTACATATTTTCATAATACTTTGTATTATAATCAAACTGAAAACTATATTACAGATGATTATAAATAAAGGTGGTGTCATAAATAAAGTAATTTTTACTAAATCGCCTCCTCACAAAAGTGTGCCGAAAAAAAACACCAATAAAAGTACGTATCAAATACAAAATATTAATATAATAATTTACACCCATATATTAATAAGAAATATTATATAAAATAGGATGTTACAGTTGCCATTCTTTTGGCCATTTATCGATAAATTGTTACAAAAAAAAAGCACTAAATAAAAAAAAAAACACCGAAAAAGTTAAAACACAGGAAAAAAAAAAACCATATAAGAAAAAAAATAATTCTACCAAATGTAAGTAAAATCCAAAATTATATAATTCATTCAATAATATCAATAATCAACAAACATTTATTGAAAAAAAAATTGTTTTCTAACTACACTAAATTATATACTATAGTTTAAAATTACATTACATTTAACAACTGAATATTGTATTTAATAGTAAAAAATTATATACACAATTAATGATTAATTAAAATATCTGTAAAACATTATATGATAAGGTTTATGTAAAAAATGTATAACGCCCAAAGAGTTTAAACATATGTATACTATATTTAAGATATTTAAATGTTTTATATTATGATAAATCTTATTGAAAAATTAGGCTTAGGACCATTTTTCTATAACACATAATTATATGTAACTCGAATTAATTATTATTTTTTAAACACATTTGTATTTGACTAAACCAAAAATAATTTAGCATTTACGTTAAATACAATATTTTTATGAGATTCCTGAAACTATTATTTTATTTGACAATCATGATATTTAAAAATTGTAGTTAAACAGTTTTTAATTTGCGAATTATTCATACGCAGATGTATATACTAAGGTATCATAAAGTTTTTTACCATTCATATAAATAATACTACAAAAAAATACACCAATAAAAATAGAAACTGAATAATACGTTTAAATTTTGTTGCAGGGTGCAATTATTGCCAAAAAATGTCAAAACACACACCAGAAAAATGTTGGTATAAAAATAAAAAAAAATACCAAGGCAAAAAATAAAAAATATTATAAATATTATTTTGTGATATATTAATAATATTAATTAATTAATAAAATATCTTATAAATAGAAAAATTATTAATTCATTAAGAAAACTCAGCTTCAATGAAGTGCATTCGAACATTATATTAATTTTAAAACAAATCATCAAACAACTTAAAAGATAAATATACTAATAAATCCCATTATATAAATCAAAATATTTTGAATTATAAACTAATTAAAAAGAATGTAATAACATATTTACAATTTAAAAAATTAAAAATTAAAAGTCACAAAATACATATGCGCAGAAACAAACAAATAGCCTAATTAAAAACATGCGCGTGGACTTAAAAAAAAAAAAAAAAAAAAAAAAAAAAAATTTTAAAAA